CCGGTCCTTGCGACCTCCTCCAATGTCCTCCCTTGTCCTGCGGTCCCGTCCGGCACCCTGTCGGGTCTGTACCTCCCCTCGTTCTCTACGAACTTGGTGGCGGGCTCTGCTCTTCAGGACGGGGGTGTTCACCAGTTCACCCCTGCCTATGAGCGTGTGACCCACTATACGTGTGCTAGGACAGGTCGCCACCTAGCTACCTTCACTCAGCAGCCGGGGTCGGACTTGTACACACTAACCACTGAGTCCCCTCAGGTAGCTGCGACTGCGTCTGCGTCAGGTCAGCTGTCGGCCCCCTGATCGTGTCGCTCCCTGTCGCACCAGACAGTTCTCTGGCACCACCGTCTTGGTCACCCGTCAGTGCTAAGCCTTCGTGGCATGCACTCCCGGTACCTTGTCTATGGTCTTCCAAGGGTTCTCCCTCCCCTCCCGCCCTCGCCTGCTCCTCCCTGTCTTCCCTGCGTCGAGGGGCGGCAGCGCGTCGCTCCTCACTCCTCCTCGTTCCCTCCCACAGAGGCTCCTTTGCAGACTCTCCACCTTAACGTGTGGGGCCCAGCCCGCGTCCGTGGACAGGGCCACGAGCGGTACTACCTGCTGGTTGTCGACGACTACACGCGCTACACCACGGTCTTCCCCTTGCGCACCAAGGGTGAGGTCCCTGATGTTTTGATCCCTTGGATCCGCGCTGCTCGTCTTTAACTCCGCGAGCGGCTCCATTCGGACTTTCCGGTCCTGCGTCTGCACTCTGACCGAGGTGGTGATTATTCCTCCGACCTCTTAGCAGCCTACTGTGCGGAGCACGGCATCCGCCAGACGTTCACACTTCCGGCCTCTCCACAGCAGAATGGGGTCGCTGAGCGCCGCATTGGCTTAGTCATGGAGATCGCTCGTACCTCCTTGATCCATGCGGCCGCCCTCCATTTCTTGTGGCCGTTTGCAGTGCAGTACGCTGCGCATCAGCTCAACCTCTGGCCCCGTGTCTCTGCTCTAGAGACCTCGCCCACACTGCTGTGGACGGGGCAGGTTGGCGATGCGTTGCGTTTCCGGGTCTGGTGTGCGTTCCTTTGTCCGCGATACCACTGCGGACAAGCTCTCCGCCCGCGCTGTGCCATGTGTCTTCCTTGGCTTTGTCCCCGACGCGCCTGGTTGGCAGTTCTACCACCCCACCTCGCGCCGTGTCTTCCCCTCTCAGGACGTCACCTTTGACGAATCAGTAACCTTTTACCGTCTGTTCCCCTACCGCACTGCTCTGCTCCCTCCCCCGCCGCTCTTCCTCACCCCAGGTGCCCCTTTGGTAGACCCCCTCCCTCCCCAGGGTCCTGCTCCCTCAGGTGTTTTCCAGGTAGACGCAGTCGAGCCTGTCGAGGTAGCTGTTGACTCTGGTCCTGAGAGGGGTGCTGAGCCTGGGGGTGCTGAGACTTAGGGTGCTGAGCCTGGGGGTGCTGAGACTGGGGGTGCTGAGCCTGGGGGTGCTGAGACTGGGGGTGCTGAGCCTGGGGGTGCTGAGATTGGGGGTGTTGAGCCTGGGGTTGCTGAGCCTGGGGGTGCTGAGCCTGGGGGTGCTAAGCCTAGGGGTGCTGAGCCTGGTGGCGCTCCCTCTTCACAACAGCTGCGTGAGTGGTACTCTCAGCGTTGCGGCCTCCGGCGAGGGGCTACTGGAGCTGCGGGTACTGTGTCGCGGCCGGAGCCTCCCTCCCCTCAGCGGCTACGTGAGTGGTATGCTCGGCGCTGCAGCCTCCGGAGTGGAGCTCCTAGTTTTGAGGTGCCGCCTGTTGGAGGCCCTGCTGCTACTGGAGGTGCTGCTGGTGCTGCTAGAGGTGCGGCTAGTACTGGTCCTGCTGGAGGTGCTGGTGGTGCTACTGGAGGTACTGGAGTTGACGCTACTGGAGGTGCTGCTGGTGCTGCTGGAGGTACTGGAGCTGCTGGAGGTACTACTAGTACTGGTCCTACTGGAGGTGCTGCTGGTGCTACTGGAGGTACTGGAGTTGACACTACTGGAGGTGTTGTTGGTGCTGCGGCAGTTGGAGCTGCTGTCGAGGGTTCTGGAGCTGTCTCTACTGGTTCTAGGGGCACGTCACGGCCACGGCCGTACTTTGTTCCGCTCCTTCAGCAGGTTCTTGGTCAGCCGCCTCCTCCTTATCTTGCTCCCTCCTTAGAGTGTCCTCCGCCTGTCCAGTCGTAGTCATAATTACAGCCTGCCTTGCCACTTCCTGGTCCTCCTCCCTACACTGGTCCGACAGGAGGTCTTACGGAGCCTCGTGAGCTTGAGTCTCGTCCTGTGTCGCCTGAGCCTCGTTCTGCGTCACCTGTTTGTGCTACTCGCACTAGTCGTCGTGTCCCGCGTCAGCGTCCTTCTGCTGTCCCCGGCACTCACCAGATGTCGCTTCGTCTTACCACTCCTCCACAGCGTGTCCCTCTGCCTTCTCCTGCGTCCTCCCTTCCTGCCCTTGCTGACCCAAAGTCTGACTCTCTTCGTGCTGCCAGTCCTACTGTCACGCGTCTCCTGGCCACAGTTGTCACTGACCCTTCCTTTGATTCAGCTGCTGCGTCTGCCTTAGTTGCTGAGCTTGTCGACTTTGCTGCTCACTAACGTCTAGACTACGCTACGAGTCTTGTTGCTGAGTCAGAGTCTGTCTGTCCTCCGTCCGTCGGGGGTGAGTGTGCCCTTGGCACGGACGTCCTTGAGGACAGGCAGGAGGAGTTTGAGTGCTTTGCCGCCGCTGTACCTTATCTCGTGTCCATGCTGATTGCACCTGAGGGAGACCCGGATGCTCCAGACATCCCGACCCCGCGCTCTTACGCTGAGGCGATCACGGGTGAGTACTCCTCTGAGTGGCAGACAACCATGGATGCAGAGATGGCATCCTGGAAGTCCACTGGCACTTACGTTGACGAGGTTCCCCCTCATGGGGCGAACATTGTCAGCGGCATGTGGATTTTCAGGGTGAAGCGGCCGCCAGGTTCTCCGCCTGTCTTCAAGGCTCGGTACGTTGCTCGAGGCTTCAGTCAGCGAGAGGGAGTAGACTTCTTCCACACCTTCTCCCCCACCCCGAAGATGACTACTCTTAGGGTGCTGCTGCATGTTGCTGCTCAGCGTGAGTACGAGCTTCACTCTCTTGACTTAAGCACAGCTTTCTTACAGGGCAGCTTGCACGAGGAGATCTGGCTGCGCTGCCTTCCTGGCTTCACTGGGTCGTTTCCTCCTGGTACCCAGTGGAGCCTCCGGCGGCCGGTCTACGGTCTCTGCCAAGCACCACGTGAGTGGCAAGACACACTGAGGACTACACTTGCGGCTCTTGGGTTCTCGCCTTCTACTGCCGACCCGTCGCTGTTTCTGCGCACCGACACTTCACTGCCGCCGTTCTACATCCTCGTGTACGTCGACGACTTGGTCTTTGCCACTGCTGACCCTGAGGCTCTCTCCCACGTGAAGTTGGAGCTGGAGAAGAGACACATGTGCACAGACCTGGGTGAGCTGACAAGCTATCTTGGCTTGCAGATCACCCGGGACAGAGCACGCCGCACCATCACACTGACTCAGTCACACATGGTGCAGCAGGTCCTTCAGCGCTTCGGCTTCACTTGGTCCTCGGCACAAGCCACTCCTCTGGCTACAGGTCACTCGCTCTCAGCTCCACCTTCAAACGAGTCCGTAGAGCCGAGTGGTCCTTACCCAGAGCTAGTTGGTTGCCTCATGTACCTGATGACTTGCACTCGTCCTGACCTCTCGTACCCTCTTGTCCTTGTGGCTCGCTACGTGGCTCCTGGTCGGCACCAAAAGGTGCACATGGATGCTGCTAAGAGGGTACAACGTTACTTAGGCAATACGTCAGGCATGGTGCTCGTGCTTGGAGAGAGGCGCTCAGTTGTTCTCACCGGGCACTCAGACGCTTCTTGGGTTGACGACCAGGCTACTCAGCGGTCGTCACAAGGTTACACCTACAGCCTTGGCTCTGGTTCAGTTTCTTGGCGTTCTACTCGCTCTTCTTCAGTTCTCACCTCCAGTTGTAAGGCTGAGATCTACGCCATAGCCATGGCTGCACAGGAGCTATGTCGGCTCACCTACCTGCTGATTGACTTGGGAGAGCGGCCTAGTTCTCCTCCAGTGCTGTACGTCGACAACAAGGTTGCCATTGCCTTGTGTGAGGAGCACAGACTGGAGCACAGAACGAAGCACATCGCTCTCCGTTACTTCCTGGCTCGAGAGCTGCATGTCAAACTTATATCATATAGCTTGTCTAGGCTATAGTGGGGTAGACACTATGGGGTACAGTTTTCCTAGGGTTTCCTACTTGTACCCAACCTTGTGCTAGTTCATTCATTCCTCGTTTGTTCACATGGTATAGAGCAGGTTCCCTAGTGGGAACTCTTCCTTAGGCCCACCACTAAAATTTTTTTTCTGACCGAAGCGTCAGTCACTCCCGCCCGAGGCGCGCCTTGTTCGCCGCCCTTCCAGGCCCCTAGTGGCCCCTAGCGGCCTCGTCGCCGCCCCTACGCGGCCCCGTCGCCGCCTCTAGTGGCCCCGTCGCCGCCCCTAGCAGCCCCGTCGTCGCCTCTCTCCCTACGCGGCCCCGTCGCCGCCCCTACGCGGCCCCGTCACCGCCCCTACGCGGCCCCGTCGCCGCCCCTACGCGGCCCTGTCGCTGCCCCTACGCGGCCCTATCGCCGCCCCTAGCGGCCCCGTCGCCGCCCCTAGCGGCCCCATCGCCGCTCCCCTTCCTACGCGGCCCCGTCGCCGCCACTACGCGGCCCCGTTGCCGCCCCTACGCGGCCCCGTCTCCGCCCCTAGCGGCCCTATCGCCGCTCCCCTACCTACGCGGCCCCGTAGCCGTCCCTAGCAGCCTCGTCACCGCCCCTACGCGGCCCTGTCGCCGCCCCTAACGGCCCCGTCGCCGCCCCTAGCGGCCCCGTTGCTGCTCTCCTTCCTACGCGGCACCATCGCCGCCCCTAGCGGGCCCGTCGCCGCTCCCCTTCCTACGCGGCCCCGTCGCCGCCACTACATGGCCCCGTCGCCGCCTCTACGCGACCCCGTAGCCGACCCTAGCGGCCCCGTCGGTGTAGTTGCACGCTACTCTTGCACGACGGTGTAGTTGCACGCTACTCTTCCCCTGCCACTGCTGCGCTGAGCCGCCTCATGCTACCGTACTTGTTCCCTGACCTTGCTGCCTTTCCCACAGTCGCTGACCTCATTACGCACCTCCGCACTAGTGACACTCGCTACCGCGCTGCGCTTCCTGCTGAGTTCTGTGCCAAGAACCCCCCCCCCCATGTACATCACCCTCTACTACATAGTCACCCGGCTCCCTGACTCCCTTCGCTTAGTCAGAAATCACTTCCTCTCAGTTTGCCCCACCCCACTCACCGTTGACCTCCTTGAGGAGCACCTCCTAGCAGCAAAGAAGAGCATAGTCGCTGTAGGAGCCTCTCGTGGTGACCCTCGCACCCCCGTCTTTGAGGGGTGTTCCCCTTCCCCCCTCTTGCCCTCTGTTGCTTCTGCTACTGCGGCCGACCTCGTTGGTTTCGAGTCGGTCGGCGCTGTGTCTGCCCTTAGCGGGAGACGCCGCACCGGCATGGGCAAGGGGGGCAAAGGCGCTGGAGGGGCTGGCGGGGGCGTTGGAGGTGGTGGTGGAGGCAGTGGAGGGGGTGGGGGTGGTGGTGGGAGTGGTGGCGGGGGTGGCGGTGTTGGTGGCAGCAGTGGAGGCGGAGGAGGCGGCGGCGGTGGCGGAGGGAGCGGAGGCGGCGGAGGTGGCGGAGGCGGCGGAGGTGGCGGAGGCGGCGGAGGTGGCGGAGGCGGCGGCGGCAGCGGTGGAGCTGGTCGCGGCTCTTCGCAGAGGAGTGGGTCCGATGGTGGTCCACGCCAGCAGCAGCAGCGCAGTCGTGAGACCCTGTCCCCTCAGCAGCTTCGTGAGTGGTACGCTGCGCGTCAGCCGGGTGGGGGTACTGGTCCCTGCACCTACGTCCTTCGTACCGGCAATCGCGCTGGTAAGCAGTGCGGGGGCCCGCACTCCACCCATCGCTGCTTCGGCCGACTGACGGACGCGTGGCGCCACCACTTCCTTGAGGCCTCTGAGATCACTCGCTGGGGAGAGCTGTGTAGGGCGGGGGTTGCTATCTTTGATCTTGATTATGATGTTATTCTTGCTGCCATGCATGCTGTGTCTGATAGTGTTGAGGGTGACTGTTACCTGTGTGTTCCACCTGACCCGGGCATTGAGGCTGCTGCTCTAGGTGCTGGTGAGGCTGTTGCACTAGGTGCTAGTGCGTCTACTGCCCCAGGTGCTAGTGAGTCTGCGCTCTCAGATACTACGTCGGCTCAGGCCGTACACATCTTCACCCTTGACTCGGGTGCTTCCCGCTCCTTCTTTCGAGACCGCACCACGCTTACGCCGCTTAGTCGGCCGGTTGCGGTCTCCCTGGCGGACCCCTCTGGGGGTCCTGTCCTTGCTAGCTTCTCCACTGTCTTACCGTGCCCGGCAGCCCCCTCTGGCACACTGTCAGGTCTCTACCTCCCCTCGTTCTCTACGAACTTGGTGAGTGGAGCTGATCTACAAGATAAGGGGGTTGACCTCCTCACTCCCGCGAGTCAGCGGGTGACCCACTGCACGTGTGCTCGGACAGGCCGACACTTGGCCACGTTCACCCGTCGGCCGGGGTCGAGCCTGTACACACTTACTACTGAGTCTCCTCCGGCTGCTGAGTCTGGCCAGGTAGCTGCGTCGAGTCAGGTGTTTGCTGCAGCGTCCAGGTCTGGTCCTGAGTCTGCCCCCTGCTCGTGTCGTCTCCAGTCCCACCAGACTCTCCTTTGGCACCACCGCCTTGGTCATCCCTCCCTACCTTGTCTCCGAGGCATGGCCTCCCGTGTCATTGTTTCTGGTCTCCCCCGGTCTCTCCCTCCCCTACCTCCGGGGCCTGCCCCTACCTGCGTCCCCTGCGTCGAGGGGCGACAGCGCGCCGCCCCTCAATCCTCCGAGTTTCCTCCGACAGAGGCTCCGTTGCAGACTCTTCACATGGACGTGTGGGGCCCCGCCCACGTCCGTGGCCAGGGGCACGAGCGTTACTTCCTGTTGGTGGTTGACGACTACTCGCGTTACACCACTGTCTTCTCCTTGCGCAGCAAGGGTGACGTCACTGAGGTGTTGATCGACTGGATCCGCGCAGCTCGTCTCCAGCTCCGAGAGAGTTTCGGCTCGGACTTTCCTGTTCTGCGTCTGCACTCTTACAAAGGCGGGGAGATTTCCTCTGCCCGTCTGGGAGCCTTCTGTCGAGCACAGGGCATCCGCCAGACCTTCACGCTTCCGGCCTCTCCACAGCAAAATCGGATTGCTGGGCACCGCATTGGCATGGTCATGGACGTCGCTTGCATGTCCATGATCCATGCGGCTGCTCCCCATTTTCTGTGGCCGTTTGCGGTTCAGTACGCAGCGCATCAGCTCAACCTTCAGCCCCGGGTCTCCTTGCTAGAGACCTCCCCCACCCTGCGGTGGACGGGGAAGGTTGGCGATGCGTCTGCGTTTCGGGTCTGGGGATCTCGGGCGTTTGTCCGCGACTTGTCTGCGGACAAGCTGTCCCCCCGTGCTGTTCCCTGCGTCTTCCTTGGCTTCCCCCCTGACGCGCCTGGGTGGCAGTTTTACCACCCCACCTCGCGCCGTGTTCTGTCCTCCCAGGACGTCACCTTTGACGAGTCGGTGCCTTACTACCGTTTCTTCCCCTACCGCACTGCGCCCCTCCCCCCGCCGCCGCTCTTCCTTGGTCTCCCGCCTACTACTGGTCCTGCTCCTCCCTTAGAGTGTCCACAGCCTGTCCAGTCGCGGTCACAGCTATAGCCCGCCTCCCCCGTACCTGCTCCTTCTCCCTACGCTGGTCCTATTGGAGGTCTTGCTGAGTGTCGTGAGCCTGCGTCTCATCCTGCGTCGCCTGTTCGTGCTATTCGCACTAGTCGTCGTGCTCCGCGTCCTCCTGCGGTCCCAGGCACACACCAGATGGCACTGCGTCCTTCCATTGCTCCTCTGCGTGTCCCGTTGCCGTCTCCTCCAGAGTCCTCTCTTCCTGTCCTTGCTGACCCGGAGTCTGACTCTCTTCGTGCTGCCAGTCCTACTGACACGCGTCTCCTGGCTACTGTTGTCACTGACCCTTCCTTTGAGTCCACTGTTGCGTCTGCCTTCGTTGCTGAGCTTGTCGACTTTGCTGCTCGCTGTCGTCTAGACTACGCTAAAATATAGATGGTATATTTTAGTGTTAGTTTTCTTTTATTAGAGAAGTTGAGTGTTTCCATGGGCTTTTAAACATCACATGTTAAGGCATGAATGCCAGTTTCGGCGCGAACGTCATCAACCCCTTGAAAATGTCATTTGGCACCCCCTTGGCCACGTGTAGCGGAAGATTCGCCAGCATGTGGCGACAGCGAAATTGTGGGCGCGGAGGAATCTCGGCAGATCTAATGTGAAAGAACCAAGAGATTTCATCGAGCGAGGGATTTTCGTGATATACTTCCGTATTTGCACCTATTCGTTAACAGCTATAATATAGAATTTGTAAGAAAAAGGGGGTATTATAAAAAATCATCCAGAAAGGGGGGTCTAGTGAAATTGAGGTCGCCCATAGCACCCACCCCGCACAAGCTACCCGGGGGTGCTCTATCATGGGGGGGTGTTTTGTCCGGGAGAATACGGTATTTGTATTGTTCGTTCCATAGTGAAGCCCCTTCTTTTTGCAACAACTTTCTCGACTCCCCTTGGCCTAGGCTACTAAGCCTAGGGCCTCACCTAAACCTAGCCCCCAATTGTGCTACTATTTCAACAGGCTTCCCCTCACCTTGGTCAGAGGATCACACTAGTAGTCCCAAAGCGACAAGGGATGGAGTGCCAAGGCTCTTACTAGGATTTAGGCCTATATGAAAACATAAAATACAAAATCGTTTTGTCTAACGTTCAAACGAGTTTTTTTTTTTGTCTGATTTTTCAGGCTAATGCAAAAGCTTCGTCTGATTTTGTTACGAATGGCAATGAACGAGACATTACAGAGCGCTCCTAACCACAGCTAAATTGAGTGAGAGAGTGAATGCGAGGAGTCAGAGTTGACTCGAAGCGTCACACAATTAGGGTAGATCTGGACCATCAGAGCAGATGGCATCAGGCAGCTGCTTGCAAGAAGAAATAGGCGGGAACAGTTTCGTAACCGTACGAGCCGCACGGTTGGGAATGAATTTGAATAAGGGAATGTACCCCTTAGAGTACATGACTAGCTACGTCGATTCGAATTCCACTGTACTCATATTTATATCCTTGTATTTGCATGTTCTCATCATCTCAAGCATTTTACATTCACTCTGCTATTGAGGTCAAGGGCCCACCAATACTTCCTAGTTGTGTGCAAACCTTCCAGAGGAGATCCTAGGAGCGATCACCTTCTGATCATAGCATGGTATGAGAGCGACTCGGAAATCCCTCGCACAGTCACTCCCGAAATCCTCAACACTCGGAAAGTGGCGTCCGACACACGATCGCGTGTGAGAATGGCCGGAGGATCTGGGGGTCAGACAAATCTGACGGCTGAAGCGCAACCCAACCCGGCTGCGACAAACGAGGAAATGACGACTATTGGGACCAAAGTCCTCGCACAACTACTTCAGCGACTCACCAGCTTGGAGCAAGGGCTCCAAACATTGCGGAACGGTGACGCGGGAACCTCCACGCAACCTTCCCAACCGGCCCCAAACGGCCAGAACGCCGCCCCGCACACTTTCTCCCTCGACACAAATGGTTCAACCCCCAAGACTCCCCGTCCCAGTAAAGAGGCGATTCTCTCTGCGCAATCAAGGTTTCTCAGCATATCAAAAATAAAGACAAGTGTGTGTTTTGACGGCAGAGACTTCTATACCTGGAGCTTCGAGCTGGAGCTCCTGCTGCAGAACGCCCAATTTTTTCACTATTTTGACGGGAGCTACACGGAGCCTACTTAAGAGACCGACGACGCAAGGGTAAGGTACTACAATGAGTCCTTGATGGCATACGATATTCTTCTGCACAACATGTCGCCGGCGGAGCAGTTGAACATTCGTTTGTACAAAACCTGGCCCGCTCCAGCCCTCGACTCTTGGCGCCACCTGAACGGCGTGTATCAGCCAAAGGAGTCCGTCTCTTCGAGTCGGCTGCTCCAGCAACTACTAGAAACCAAAATGGCCCCAGGGGAGAAGGCCAGTAGTTACATTAATCACTGTCGGAGTCTTCGCGATCAAATCGCGAAGTTGGGAAGCTCGATATCATAGGAGATTTTCGTCAACATCGTGCTTCAAGGGCTCAGCCCAGAGTGGCGGCCCTGCAAGGCGCTCCTCCGGCAGTAGGGGGTCATCTCGAAGGCCGCCCTTTGCGCCGCCCTCCTCGTCGAACAACGGGATATGGACCAGCAGCGACCAACGCCACGACGAGAACGCGAACGGCTCGCCTTCTACGCCAACGATACCAAAGAGCGACGGCCGCGACGCCTCTACTGCAAGATCTGCAGAAATTTCGGACATTTGGCGGATCGATGTAAATTCCGATCTTGCCCTCGCCAGACCAATCTGGGCATCTGGTCGGGTCGACAAGACGCACGATGCGACGTGCGTCCAGCCCAGGGGTATCAACCCCCAGTGCGCAACCTGAACCCAACGGTTCAGCATCAGCAGAAGCCGTCATTGTCTGCCCCAGTACGCAACATCATGAGCAACATGGCCATGACGGGCGAGTCGCGTCGTCGCCGCGTGCGCTCACCATCACCTAAGCCAGCACCGCACCCCATCGGCGTGTTCTCCAACAACAACCCATTCAGTCCGCGCCACAACTTCATCGACGACGAACACCAAGACTGGAGTCTTCCAGTCCCGCTGCTTGAAAGTCCCCCGCACGTACCTTATATGCGGGCGGCGCCACTTGACTGGCTCTCGCGCAAGCAATTCCTGAAGTTTGACGCTCCACACATTGTCACGCTGTGACTGGCGCTGCTCGCACGTGATGACAACAAGCGCTATAATACCTGGTACCTGGACAACTGCTGCGGCCAGCACATGGTGGGCTCCAAGCGTTACATATCCAACGCCGTCGCCACCCCCACAGTCACCTACGTCACTGCGGAGAGTCACTCTACCACGGTAGTGAGCTAGACTACAGGGTTGGCACGAACCTCTAGAGGTGATCGTAGCTTTGCTTAGTTCCTTAGTGCTTGCGCATTCACGGGAGTAATCGGCAAGATTTTTCACTAGGCAAAGTCGAAACTACAGAATAATTGAACATGCCATTACAGAATGACTACATCAGACACCTAGCAACCCTCCAGCTAGCCTGGTCGACTGCCAGCACAGCTCGGCCGACCGCCTGCCAGTGTTGCGTAGAGGAACCGCGCCAGCACTGCGGAAAGGCGACCTGCCAACAGAGCAAGTCGACGGCGTGCCAACGCTGCAGTAGAGTGGCTGTCCCGCGTTGCCCCGTAGAACACAGCAGTGCGCAAGCTCGCAGGTGCGCAAGCTCGCAGGTGCGTGTAAACGATTGGCCCGACTTGCCTCGTTGGGCATCCGTCGGCTGTTGTCTGCGCCTGACAAGCCACATCGATTTTGGGATACCAGCCCGCAGTCGCCTTCGCCATCGCAACCTCAACGATGTTCGCGTGCCTCCGCAGAACTCGTCGAGCAGGTTACTCGGTCGACCTGGTCGACCACCAGATGCTTTCGATCGACCACCACTTCTTCTGGTCGACCACGAGGTCCCTCTGGTCGACCACCAGGTGCCCCTAGTCAACCACAGCTCCCGTCGAGCTACCCTCTGGTCGACGGACCCCTTCCGTCAACCAAAACCGTCAGTGGTTGTCACCGAGCTCCCCTCGTCGACCGCTGCTCACTTGTCAGGTCGAAGGACTGCTCCGTCAACCTCCTGGTCGAACTGCAGGTTGACAAACTTCTCCCGGTCGAGCTGCAGGTTGACGGAATGCTCCCGGTTGAGCTGTAGGTCGACGGACTGCTCCCGGTCGAGCTGTAGGTCGACGAAGACCTCCCGGTCGAGCTGCATATCAACAGAGACCTCCCGGTCGGATTGCCCCTCCTGTTCGACGGCCCACCCATCGCCCAGACGAGTCAGTTGCCGCTGTTGAGCTCCCTGGTCGACAAGAGCACCACAGTGGTCCCCTGCAGCTGGACAATGCCTATCAAGCAGCTCTCCCACTGTGAACGGTCGGCTGCTACTCCCGTACATCCGACCAAGTCGTCGACATTACCCAAGCGAGGGCGAGGCCAGCACTCCATTCCTGTTAACAGTCATCGTGGCTAACAACACACGCCTGCGCGCAAGCGCGCAAGGCATCGTCGTGCTCAAGGCACGTGGAAGCCGCACACACATCACGCTTAACGATGTGCTGATCGTCCAGAGCCTGCGCTTCAACCTGCTTTCCGCCGCACAGCTCATGGACTGCGGCGTTGACCTCACCAGAGATCGCACAACACGCAACATTCTACTGCATTTCGAATCGAAGACCTTCTCTCGCAGGCAGATCAGACGAGCGCACTCCGAAAAATGGAGAGTACGTATTGGATTTCGACATCCCCGACTGCAGCGGTGACTCGAACGAGCTTCTCGACCTCATTCCACTGCGCTTCGAACACATCCACCGTAGGGACTGGAAACACCCTGACGGCAGACCGTGGGTGCCGCATCACCCCCACCCACGCAACGTGGCGCTGCACGACCCGGACCCAGACGGCATCTGCAGGGACTGCCACACACCTACCGCATCAACTAGCGCAATTGTCGGTCGTGGGCTTGCCGCCATCGCCGAAGCAGAGAGACATGCACCACCAGAGGAAGGAATGTCGCAGCTGGAGCTCAAAATTACCACGCGCTGCATGTTCGGCACGCCAGAACACCCTCTCATCGGACCCCCCTCGCAGCATCTTCAAGGCATGCTGCGCGGCACTAGCGTCGGCACATTCGATGCGCACAACGTGCCGCGACCCTACACGCACGAATTGTTTTTGGAAATTTACTCCCACCGGTGTGACTCGACGACGAAGCTCACTGGCGAAGAACCCGGCGGCCGCTTCACCCTGAAAATCCACATGCCATCGACTACGTTCACCCCAGGAGGTGGAACTGCGTCGACGTAGGTGCCCGCGGACTTCCAGGATGCCATCTCTGCATCCATGGCTGTCTGCCACTGAGAGGAGTAGTCACCCGCGATCACCTCAGTGTAAGAGCGCTTGGTCGGGATGTCTGGTGCATTCGGATCTCCCTCAAGGGCAAGCAGCATGGCCACGAGATGAGGTGCAGCGGCTGCAAGACACTCAAAGTCCTCCAGCCTGTCCTCAAGGACGTCCGTGCCAAGAGCACACTCACCCCCGACGGACGGAGGACAGACAGACTCAGACGCAGCAGCAAGACTAGCGGCGTAGTTGAGACGACAAGCAGCAGCGAAGTGAACAAGCTCAGCGACTAAAGCAGACACAGCAGCAGACTCAAACGAAGGGTCAGTGACAGCAATGGTTAGCAAACGGGTAACAGTAGGACTGGAAGCACGAACCAAGTCAGACTCAGGGTCTAGAACGTGCGGAAGAGAGGAAGGAAGAGGAGACGGCAGGGGAACACACTGTGGAACAGAGGAAGGATGAAGTGCCATAGTGTGCGTGGCGGGGACAGGAGGAGGACGCTAACGAGGAACACGGCGACTAGTGCGACCAGCGCGAACAGGCGAGGCAGGACGAGACGCAGGCTCACGACGCTCAATAAGACCTCCTCTCTGCTCAGTGTAAGGAGAGGGAGTAGGCAGTGGGGAGCCTGGCTGTAACGGGAGACCTGTAGAAGACGGGAGTCTAAGAACCTGGCGAAGCACCAAGCCAGGCGGCGGCATAGACGACGGGGACGGTGGAGCGAAGAACAGACGTGGCGGTGCAGCACCACCAGTACCAGCTCCTCTAGCACCAGCACCCCCAATACTAGTACCAGCAGCTCCAGGGTCTCCAGCAGCTCTAGAAACTCCACCTCCAGCACCTCCAGCTCCCGGGTCACCAGCTCAACCATCTCCAGCTCCCGGGTTACCAGCTCCAGCGCCTACAGCTCCAAGGCCTCCAGCTCCAGAGTCCACAGCACCACCAGCCCCGGCCACGCCAGTACCTCCAACTCTCGCGCCTCCAGCCGCAGCGCCTCCAGCCGCAGCGCCTCCAGCCCAAGCAACGCCTCTCCAAAGGCGGCAGTGCTGAGTGTACCACTTGCGTAGCTGCTGCGGCGAGAGAGCACCTAGAGAACCTCGAGGACGAGCACCTCCAAGACTAGCAGTGCCAGCCCCACTAGCACCACCAGCACCGACAGTACCACCAGCTCCGGCAGCACCAGTACCTCCAGTACGAGCACCCCCGGGACCAGCAGCTCCAGCACCTCCAGCAGCACCACCACCACCACCAGCTCCAGCATCTCCAGTACCTCCAGTACGAGCAAACCCAGGACCAGCAGCTCCAGCACCTCCAGCAGCAGCAGCACCACCACCACTAGCTCCAGCAGCTCCAATACTTCCAGTACGAGCACCTCTAGGACTAGCAGCTCCTGCACCTCGAGCAGTAGCACCACCACCAGCTCCAACAGCTCCAAAAACTCCACTACCTCTAGCAGTATCAGCACCACCAGCTCCGGCAACTCTAGCGCCACCAGCACGAGCACCCTCAGGAGTAGCTCCAGGGCCTCCAGCTCCAGCAGCGCCACGCTAAAGGCTACAGCGCCGAGCGTACTACTCGCGCAACTGCTGTGGTGAGAGAGGCCCCCGTAGTGTAGACGCAGGACCCCAAGGCTCAGCACCCCCAGACTCAGCACCCCCAGGCTCCGCATGCTCAGGCTCAGCGCCCCCAGGCTCCGCACGCTCAGATGCAGCACCCCTGGGCTCCGCACTCGCAGGCTCAGCACCTTCAGGCTCCTCACGCTCAGGCTCCGCAACCGCAGGCTCAGCACCCCCAGGCTCCTCGCGCACAGGCTCATCACCCCTAGGCCCCTCATACTCAAGCTCAGCATCCGCAGGCTTAGCACCCCCAGCAGCACCAGAGTCACCAGTGACCTTGACAGGCTCAACCAAGGGAGTGGGTCTACCTGAGACACACCTGAAGGAGCAGGACCCTGAGGGGGGAGGGTATCTACCGAAGGGGGACCTGGAGCAAGGAAGAGCGGCGCGGGAGGGGGAGGGGCAGTGCGGTAGGGGAAGAGACGGTAAAAGGGAACCGACTCGTCAAACGTGACACCCTGAGAGGACAGAACACGACGCGAGGTGGGGTGGTAAAACTACCATCCAGGCGCGTCAAGGGGAAAACCAAGGAAGACACAGGGAGCGACGCGGGCGGAGAGCTTGTCCACAGAGGTATCGCGAACAAAGGCACGAGATCCCCAGACCCGGAACACTGACGCATCGCCAACCTCTCCCGTCCAACGAAGTGTCGGCGAGGTCTCCGGCAAGGAGATACAGGGCCAGTGGTTTAGCAGATGCGCAGCGTACTGGACCGCCAACAGCCACAGAAAATGGGGGGCAGCTGCATGGATCATGGAGGTACGAGCGACCTCCATGACTAGGCCAATGCGGCACTCAGCAGCCCCATTCCGCTGCGGAGATGCCGGAAGCGTGAACGTATGGCGAATGCCCTCCCCACGACAAAAGTTCCGCAAGAGGTTGGAGGAAAACTCAACACCTCTGTCAGAGTGCAGACGCAGGACAGGATGGTCCGTGTCGAACCGCTCGCGAAGCTGGAGACGGACAGCGCGGATCTAAGGGATCAAGACATCAGGGACCTCACCCACGCTACGTAAGGGGAAGACCGTTGTGTAACAGAGGTTGGAGGAAAACTCACCACCTCTGTCAGAGTGCAGACGCAGGACAGGATGGTCCGTGTCGAACCGCTCGCAAAGCTGGAGACGGACAGCGCGGATCTAAGGGATCAAGACATCAGGGACCTCACCCACGCTACGTAAGGGGAAGACCGTTGTGTAACGTGGGTAGTCGTCAACGACCAACAGAAAGTATCGCTCGCGGCCGTCCCTGGACGTGGGCTGGGCCCCACACATTAAAGTGGAGAATCAGCAGGGGAGCAGTCGTCGGGAGAAACGAGGAGTGAGGAGCGGCACGCTGCCGCCCCTCGACACAGGGATGGCAAGGTGGGGCAGGCGAGGGTGGGAGGGGAGGCAGAGACCTGGGAAGACCTGAGACAAGAAGGCGAGAGTCCATGCCACGGAGGCGTGGCAGAGAGGGGTGACCAAGGCGGTGGTGCCAAAGGAGAGTCTGGTGCGACAGGGTGCGACACGAGCAGATTGCTGCTAGCTGACTTGACGCGGACGCAGACGCAGCTACCTGAGGAGGCGCAGTAGTCAGTGTGTACAGGCTCGACCCACGCCGGCAGGTGAACGTGGCCAGGTGACGGCCCATCCGTGCACACAAGCAGATCGCGACACGGTGTTCCCCAGGCATAAAGGTATTAACCCATTCTTCCGGAAGGACGGCATTGCTCACCAAGTTCATAGAGAATGAGGGGAGGTGAAGACCTGACAGTGAGCCAGACGGAACCGTCGGACACGGGAGGAGGAACGTGCAAGAACCGGTCCCTTAGAGGGATCAGCCGGAGAGGCTGTAACCGGTGCTGCTAGCGGTTTGAAGTGGTGCTGTCACGAAAATAGGAACGAGTTTAGCGGTTTGATGTAAATGTTGTCATTCTTGCTCTGATACCATGTAAAAAAATAACGAGCAGGAATGACTGCATTGACATCGAACCGAGTACAATTATAACCCTAATGGGGTTGTACCCCATATAGGCTACCCCACTATAGACTACACATCACAAGTAGCATCATATTTTGACAGGGAGGGGAGGATGGCTGGGCTGGGGCTACAGGCAGGAGGATCGAGGATTTGAGTGAGGGCCTCTTGGTCAGGGAGAGTGGGTGGAGGCTGGACGGATAGATGAAGGAACGAGAAATCGGGGAAGGATAGTGGTTGTGACAAGGGTAGGGGAGGCGGATGGGTGGGGGACCGGGGGAGAAGAGGGGAGGCGGTGTTAGACGAAAACATACTCGCTATCTGAAATTTCAGAGGAAGTGTTACACTTGCTTTGAAAAAACAGACAAAAAAAAAAAAACAAGTCTTGTGGAACAGACGAAATAAATTCCTTTGTCTTTGAAATCAGATGAAACAGAAAATATAGGTATGAAAAACAGACCACAAGACCAATCTGGTCTGATAACGAGAGCTCTTTTACTTCAAAACCGAAATATATATTAGTGAACCCCGTCCCAGCTTGAATGGATCTTTCCGGGTGGGTTTGCAAAGCACTGTTTCAAACATTTCGTGTGTGCAGATCGAACCCATTTGATTGGTTCCCGCCAAAAACGAATTTTTTAGGCCTTACACAAGGAGTCGCATTCAACATGATGCACCCGCACGACGGTTGTACGGCGATCATTGCGATCGTTGGGCCCAACTCCAACTTCAAGCTGGACGTGGGTTCCACTACTTCTTTCCACTCTAGTCTCTAGTTTAGCCAAGCTTAGAATAGCTGAAAACGTAGGCATTTTTACCAAGGCAACTACCATTTTTATAGATTTAATCCACATCCTTCTATTCGTGCCTAGTGACGAGGGATCTTACGCATCTCGTAGCGATACTTGCCTCGAGATTTTTCGGTTGAACGCGCTCGCCGCCGAAACGCCCTTTCGTCGCTCAGCTCATCACCTTCACATTTGCGTGGAATTGCCCTCGCGGCGGCCTTATTCCGTCCCCCCCCGCCCATCACCCACCTCTTCGCATTCGCACTTGCCTCGAAACATTCTCTCGTCTCCCACCCCATTTTTCCCATTTCGTCCCATCGCTTACGAGCTCTCCCCTTCTGTCTTGTCGCCCTCTCTCTCGCCCCTCCATTCCCGTCGCCCTCTCTCTCTCCGCGCCCTTCTCGTCGCCCCTCTCATCTCGTCGCGCTCTCTCTATCCGTGCCCTTCCCGTCGCCTCCCTTCCCATCGCGCTCTCTCTCTTTCCTCCCTTCCCGTCGCCCTCTCTCTCGCCCCTCCCTTCCCATCGCGCTCTCTCTCTCCGCGCCCTTCTCATCGCCCTCTCTCTCGCCCCTCTCATCTCGTCGCGCTCTCTCTATCCGCGCCCTTCCCGTCGCCTCCCTTCCCGCCGCCATCTCTCTCTCCCCTCCCTTCCCGTCGCCCTCTCTCTCGCCCCTCCCTTCCCGTCGTGCTCTCTCTCTCTCCGCGCCCTTCCCATCGCCCTCTCTCCCGTCGCCCTCTCTCCCATCGCCTTCGCTCTCTTCTTTGCTCTGTCCCGGCGTTATATATATGCTTGCCTTCCGGCGAAGTGCTCTTCCGCCTCTCGCGCGATCGTTACGGTTCCTGTCATTGTCGGCACCACGAAACGCTCTCGAGTAGTCGCCATTGCGCTCCTCTCTACCCGCGCCATCGCCCCTCCCTTCCCTTCCCCACGATATTGCCATCACCCTTTCCTTTCGATCAGCGTACCTTTATTCCACCCCGTCTCGTCGCCCTCAAGAACTCCCCTACCTTCGCGTCTTCTTGTTGTTCTCCCATCCCCTTTCTTCGCCCTCGGTGTCTCCGCTCCCCTCCCGTCTTTCTTCCTCTCTCCGCTCCCCTAACGTCGCTCTTCCCACCTCCGCTTCCATTCACGTCCTTGTTCCTCTCGCCCTTGATCTTTCCTGTCGTTATTCATCACTACCGTCCCCTCCCCTCCCCTTGTTAATATTATTCTAAAAGAGCAGGCCGCATGTCCTTCGCTGCACCGGTCTCACAGGTCGACTAGCTCTGGATCACCTAAACATTCTCGTTGCATGTGTGTGGGTTGTCGGAACTGCTTGTGTCGTTGCGTTGCGCAAAGCTTCTGGTACATTCACTGGAACGATTGGAAGCTTTGCACGTCGTGCAGCCTTGCGCCAAAATCGCACATGTATGTGCGAGAAAGTTTGTGACCAATCAGAGTTCATAAATATGATCTAATCGTTCCCCCTTCACTTTGAGGCAAACTCTAGTGTTGAAAGAAAATCTCACACGTAACTTCCAACTTTCCCAAAACTTCCGTTTTCAAGTTGGACCCAACTAGAAGGGGGGGGGGGGGGGGGGGGGGGGTCACTATTGTAGCTGCTGGCTTTAATGTGGATTGTTACCATTTGATGTAGCACGTCGAACCCAGTCCATAGATAGGCTGGAATCCTTCTAGCCTCGCTCTTGGTTGCGGCACTCAGCCAACATCACCGTCAGTATATTTTATCATAGCCGATGCAGTGTGCACTTGTCGTGCTTTCCCACTAGAGTAAACTCCACCGTTTGTAGTACATTACCTTTTGCTATGTATACATAACATAACGGTGGAGTATAGGACAGGCTAGTACAAACGGAGACAAGACGCGAGTCGCGTTGGCAAAATCGGATTCTGGGACTTGCAGGTTGCTGCAAAGGCCTATGGCCTTTCCAATCACCGAATCTCCCAGAGGATACTGGAGAGGCTCGAGATGAGACTACACCTTTATTCTTAGTCCTCTCACCGGCGGAAGCAGTGGCTACAGTGTTTGGACGTAGCGGGCTGGTGAGATAACTCGGTTGCGGGCCAAGTCGCACGAGGTGACGAAACCAGACTTGGGCCGTAAAATTCCGTTAACGCTGAATAACTGTCTTAACCGTTTAGAAAACAGCATTACCATTTTAGTACGTAAAGAATCTTGACTAAACGCCCTGGGTCAAACTGTCAGTATAACGTGTCAGAACATTATAGCTTACTTATTTGTGTAGGCTATAGTGGGGTATTCCATAGGGGGTACAACCCAATTAGGGTTTCATATTTGTACTCACTTCATGCATAGTTCATTCATTCTCGTTCGCTTCTTCTCATGGAATCAGAGCAGGTTCCCCTGTGGGAACTGTGCTTAGGGCCCACCACTTAAAACTTTTTTTTTTTTCTGCCCTAGCGCCTTGCGCCCTAGCCCCTACCCTAGCGCCCGCCCTAGCGCCCTAGCGCCCGCCCTAGCGGCCGCCTTAGCGCCCGCCCTAGCGCCTGCCCTAGCGCCCTAGCGCCCGGCGCCCGCCCTTGCGCCCGTTCGCCGCCCGCGGCCTGTCCGTGCGCTGCCGCCCGTGCGCCGCCGCCCGTGATCGCCGCCCATGAGCGCCGCCCGTACGCACTGCCCGTGAGCGCCGCCCGTCAGCGCAGCCGCCCGTCAACCGCCGCTGGTGCGCCGCCGCCCGTGACGCCGCCGCCCGTGAGCCGCCGCCCGTGAGCCGCCGCCAGTGAGCCGCTCGCCCGTGAGCCGCCCGCCTGTGAGCCGCCCGCCCGTGAGCCGCCCACGACGCCGACGCCGCCGACACCGCCTACGCCGCCCGTGCACCGCCGACGCCGCCGACGTCACCCGTGAGCCGCCGACGCCGCCGACGCCGCCGACGCCGCCCGTGAGCCGCTGACGCCGCCGTCGCAGCCGACGCCGCCCGTGAGCAGCCGACGCCGCCCTCGAGCCGCCCCAGCCGCCCGTAAGCCGCACGTGCGCCGCCCGCGAGCCGCCCCAGCCGCCCGTGAGCCACCCGCGAGCCGCCCCAGCCGCCAGTGCTGTCGCCCGCAAGACGCCCGCGCCGCCCGAGCCGCCCGAGCCGCCCGAGCTGCCCGAGCCGCCCGAGCCGCCCGAGCCGCCCGAGCCGCCCGAGCCGCCCGAGTCGCCCGAGCCGCCCGAGCCGCCCGAGCAGCCTGAGGTGTCGGCCTCCTGTTCCTGTGGGGGCTGCTGCTGCTCCTGGGCCACCGTAGCTGCTGTGCTGCTGTGTGACGGTACTCCTGAGCTACCTGACTCTTCGCGCCCGGTGAGACTGTCAGCTGCTATAATGGCCACCCCCAGTGTCCTGTCTTTTGACGCTGAGGGTCGCGCCGTTGACTTTGCAGTCTGGGTCGAGGACCTGCAGCTGTACTTACTGTGCGATGCGATCGATGAGGTTTCTCTCTTTGACTTTGTCTCTTGCGCTGTCCCTGCCCCTCCTGCTGATGCTGACCCCTCTGTTCGCTCCAAGTGGGCCACGCGCGATGCTGCTGCACGTCTTGCTGTGCGTCGCCACCTCCCTTCCTCCGAGCGTGCACACTTTAGTCAGTGCAAGACCGCTCAGGCCTTGTACGACGCTGTGGTTGCGCGCTACTCCTCCCCTTCTTCCGCTACGCTGAGCCGCCTCATGCTACCGTTCCTCTTCCCTGACCTCGCTGCCTTTCCCACAGTCACTGACCTCTTTACCCACCTCCGCGCTAGTGACACTCGCTACCGCGCTGCGCTTCCGGCAGAGTTCCGCGCCGCAAACCCTCCTCCCATGTACATCACTCTCTACTTTCTAGTCACCCGTCTCCCTGAGTCCCTTCGTGCCGTTAGGGACCAGTTTCTCTCTGTCTGTCCCACCACCCTCACTGTCGACCTCCTTGAGAAGTCCCTGCTAGCGGCTGAGAAGAGTATCGTCGCTGTAGGGGCCTCTCGTGGTGACCCTCGCACCCCCATCTTTGAGGGGTGTTCTCCTTCCCCCCAACTTCCCTCTATCGCCTCTGCTGCTGCAGCCGACCTCGTTGGTTTGGAGTCGGTCGGTACGGCGTCTGCCCCCAGCGGTAGGCGCCGCCCTGGCAGGGGCAAGGGGGGCAAGGGAGCGGGTGGAGCTAGCGGGGGCGGTGGCGGAGGCGGTGGAGGCGGCGGGGGGAGTGGGGGTGGCAGTGGAGGTGGTGGCGGGAGTGGAGGTACTAGTGGCGGCGATGGAGGCGGAGGTGGTGGTGGTGGTGGCGGTGGGAGCGGCGGGGGCGAGGGTGGCGGTGGCGGCGGTGGCGGCGGAGGCGGGGGTGGCGGTGGTGGAGGTGGTCGGAGTGGCTCGTCCCAGCGGAGCACCACTGGCGGTAGTCAGCGCCAGCAGCAGCAGCAGCAGCAGCAGCGCTCTCGCGACGTCCCCACCCCTCAGCAGCTCCGTGAGTGGTACTCCCAGCGTCAGCGTGGTGGGGCGTTCGGTCCCTGCACCTACGTCCCTCGCACCGGCGACCGTGTGGGTGAGCAGTGTGGGGGCACCCACACCGCCCGCCGCTGCTTTGCCCGCTTGACTGACGCTTGGCGCCAGCAGTTTCCGGAGGCCTCTGAGATCCCCCGCTGGGGAGAGCTGTCTAGGGCTGGTGTAGCTATCTTTGATCTTGACTTTGATGCTATTCTTGCTGCAATGTATGCTGTGTCTGGTAGTGATGAGGCTGACTGTTACCGGTGTTTCCCGCCCGATCCGGGCATTGAGTCTGCTGCTCTAGGTACTGGTGCGGCTGCTGCCCTAGGTGCTTGCGACGCTGCTGCTCTAGGTGCTAGTGTGTCTGCGTCCTCAGGTACTGGTGAGTCTGCGCTCTTGGGTACTACGTCGGCTTCGGCCTCCCTCACCTTCACCCTTGACTCTGGGGCGTCTTGCTCCTTCTTTCGGGACTGCACCACTCTCACGCCGCTTAGTCGGCCTGTTGCGGTGTCCCTGGCTGACCCCTCTGGGGGTCCTGTCCTGTCTCGTTTCTCCACAGTCCTCCCGTGTCCGGCGGCTCCCTCTGGCACCCTGACTGGTCTCTACCTCCCCTCGTTCTCTACGAACCTGGTGAGTGGTTCTGACCTACAGGATGGGGGTGTCCACCAGTTCACTCCTGCTCGTCAGCGGGTGACACACTGCACAGAGGCTAGCACAAGTCGCCACCTAGCTACGTTTACACGTCAGCCAGGGTCGAGCCTGTACACACTGACCACTGCTTCTCCTCCCGGTGCTGAGCCTGGTAGAGTCCCTTTGTCTGGTCAGGTGTTTGCTGCAGCGTCCAGGTCTGATCCTGAGTCTGCCCCCTGTTCGTGTCGCCGTCTGTCTCACGAGACTCTCCTCTGGCACCACCGCCTTTGCCACCCCTCTCTGCTTCGGCTCAGAGGCATGGCCTCCCGTCTTCTTGTGTCTGGTCTCCCCCGGTCCCTCCCTTCCCTTCCTCAGGGCCCTGGCCCTGCCTGTGTCCCCTGCGTTGAGGGGCGCCAGCGTGCTGCCCCTCACTCCTCCCAGTTTCCTCCGACAGAGGCTCCGTTGCAGACGCTTCACATGGACGTGTGGGGCCCTGCCCGCGTCCGTGGACTTGGTCACGAGTGCTACTTCCTGTTGGTGGTTGACGACTACTCGCGTTACACCAAAGTCTTCCCCTTGCGTAGCAAGGGTGATGTCACTGAGGTGCTGATCGACTGGATCCGCGCAGCTCGTCTCCAGCTCAGGCGGAGCTTTGGCTCGGACTTTCCTGTGTTGCGTCTGCACTCGGACAGAGGCGGAGAGTTCTCCTCTGGCCTTCTGCGTGCCTTCTGTCGTGCGCGAGGCATCCGCCAGACCTTCACGCTTCCGGACTCACCGCAGCAAAATGGGATTGCAGAGCGCCGCATTGGCATGGTCATGGACGTCGCTCGTACGTCTATGATGCATGCAGCTGCCCCCCATTTTCTGTGGCCGTTTGCGGTCAGGTACGCGGCGCATCAGATCAACCTCCACCCCAGGGTCTCCAGGCCGGAGACCTCCCCAGCCCTTCTGTGGACGGGGAAGGTTGGCGATGCGTCGGCGTTCCGGGTCTGGGGATCTCGGGCGTTTGTCCGCGACTTGTCTGCGG